CATTTGCCCATTTCATGATGAGAGATTTACAACCACACCTGCTCACACTGCAGAGTGTTCAGCAGTTTTTGACCAAAAACAGCATGACCCCCATGCCCCATGCTCCCTATTCATACAATCTCACCCCAAGCAACTTTTGTTGTTGTTTTCCCAGATGAAAAAAGTCTTCAAAAGGAAACATTTTGCCAATATGGAAAAGATAAAACACAAAAATGGCAAAAGCACTAAAAGACATCAAAATTGATAAGTTCAAAAACTGTTTTGAGCAGTGGAAAAAATGTCTTGATAGGTATAATGCATCAAATGGAGACTACTTAGAAGGTGACTGAAGTCTAAACATATAAGAATAAAGATACAAGTTTCTTCAAGTAAATTTCAGTTTCTTTTGGGTCCCCCATTGTGTATTCCCTAAAGAATACTGAGAAAGCAGTTGAGAACCATTTATCTGCTAAATGGTGGTGTTAAAAGACATGCACAGTCAGTCCTGTGCATCTGTGGGTTCCACATTCATGGATTCAACCAACCATGATTGTATTGAACATGTAGAGACTTTTTTTTTGTCATTATTCCCTAAACAGTACAACTATTTACATAGCATTAACATTGTATTAGGTATTATAAAGTAATCTAGAAATGATTTAAAGTTTATAGGAGGATGCACATAGATTATATGCAAATACTCCACCATTTTATATTAAGGACTTGAGCATCTGAGGATTTTGATACCTGTGGGAATCCTGAAACCAATCCCCAGTGGATACCAAGGAATGACTGTAGTTATGATTCCATCCAAAGGAAACAAAAAATATATTAGTGGAAATAGAATCTTCTGGAAGGAATTTTTTTAGAATGATGAAAGAGAATGAAAAACAGTTGTATAACTAGTGCTAAGAAAGAGACTAAGTAAGTGGTCACAGCTTCATCCTAAAGTGAGGTGAGGGAGCTAGATAGAACCAGTGTAATAATTCACAGGTCACTGGTGCCTATTGAGAGCAGTTTAAAAAAAAAATGACCAAGAATCTGATGCATTGTTTAAAAACTCTAATAAAGTTCTGATTATAACTTAGTTTTTAAACAAAATTTCTTATGTTACTTTAATTAATCGTAACATTTGTTTACAATTCTTTGATTGTTTCTAACTAACTTTGTTTACTATTTTATCCCCTTTAGGGACTTTCTGAGCTTCAGGACATGTACCAAACAATAATACTCCAGAAAATAGGTACAGGAAGTATAGAGGAACAGTATAGCTTCATTTTTTTCCCCATTGACAGAGATGTCCTTCAAAGCCCTAAGGTTTTCAAAAATTATTTTGCTCCAATGATTTTAGTGATAATGCCTATTATTTTACCTACATCCATGGAATTAATGGAATCAGTTTATATTGTTGTTTTTTAATGAGAATAATCAATTGTTAAGCACATAACATACCCAGTCCCTCAAATATAACAATATAATTTGGTATTCCATGTGTTTTAGTCCTTTAGCTAGAACATTTACATGGCCTGACTCATGTCTTGATAGACTCACAGCTGCTTCTTTCTTTAAAGTATCCAAAAAAGTCTTAGTACATTCTAAATATGTGGCATTTGGTTTAAAAACTAAATTTGTTTAATTATTATTTTTACATGCAGGATCATCATAGAACCTTAAATGTGGAAAAGGCCTTAGAGAAAATTAATCTGTGTCTGTTGATGCATATGGGATGAAAGTCCCAGGAAAATTAGGGGATTAGTTAAAAGTCATGTGACATGTTCACACACCATACATGATTCAGACTTATACATTTATAAGGATCAACACATGATAAAGTGGTTGAACAATTACTTGCTTACCTCATTAGTTCTAGATATCGTCAGACTTTGACTTAGACATGAAGTTCTGTTAGGAGCTGATGAGGAAACAAAAGGTGGTGATATCAATCTCCCTGCCCTCTGGGAAGTGCCTGCTTGGGGGAGATCTTGGCTGTCCCAGCTATAGATTCTGATAGAGAAAGTTGTCAGTGTTGGATGAAACCAGAATAAGTGAATGATTTTAGCTAATAAAATATCTTTCCTCTATTATATGATAAAATTACTGAAAAGCCAATTGAGAGATAGTATAGATTAATATTTTTTAAACAAAAGTAGTCCAACTCATTGAGCATTCATTCACTTCAACCCCCCAAAAAATTTTAGCCAAAAGGTTTGACCAAGGAGGATTGGGCAAACAATTAAAAAATATATTGGTAGAAATAGAACCTTCTGGAGGGAATATTTTTAGATTTAGATAAATCTAAAATTTATTTAGATTTTTCTCCCTTTGTCCTTCATTTATGAAATCTCTTTACTCCTCACTCAATACTAGAAGAGGGTGGTGCACAAAGACATTTGAAGCTAGTCTATGTGAAAACAGTAGACCTTAGATTTGTAATCTAATTCTACAAAGTTTTGAAAAAGTTCCATAAACATTAAACAACTCAGATTAGCATCTCAGGTTATTGTATATTAGATAAATTTTGTATGAAAGAGGTAATGATTAATAAAGGAACATGCTGCTGAAATTTAGAAGGGGATGTAATATAGCTTATTCAGTTTTTCTTTCTAAATAATGTATTTGATTATTTTTAGAATCCTTTTGGATATGTAAGGTGGAAAGGAAAGAAGCAGGCCATTAGAAAAACAACCACAGTGGACTGTGCCTGCGTGATATTAAGCCATGATGATTAAGGGATACAAGTAAAATTATGGACTAAGATGGATTTTAAGGAAACCATTCAAATGACTTCAAATTAGCATTGAATAAATGCTTGGGTGCGTCACCCTTAAAACCATGCTTTCCCACAGAGTCATAAACAATTCCGATTCTGGCCACAGTGTGGAGATGTTGCGACGCAGATTCACATTGCCATGTCAGAGGAATGCATTTTCTAATCACGTTGGAACAGGGATTTCCAGTGCCTGCGCTGCTTTTCCTTTCCACTTTACATCTTATCATAACTTAGTGCTTCCTTTTTCTAGTATAAGTTCATAAAGGTGTGTGGCACACTTTTCTTTCTGGATAAAACATTAGAACTTCTATGTATCTGGTATCCCTAAATGTTCACATATAATATGAGGCTTTTAACTGATTCTCCATACCACAGCTAGGAATTTCTGTAATGCTAAATGAACCAATTTCAATATACAGTGTTCTTAAAAGACCCACTAGAGCATATAAAATAATAGCAAATACCACCACAGTTTGTGGGTTTCATTTGAGAATGAAATGGCATCCTTTGTAAAAAACATTCATATCATGGGCAAATCTTGCTGTTAATTCATTACACAACTGTGAAGTGCTTACTCTGTGCCAAGCAACACTCCTGGTATGCAGAGAGAAATAAAATAGAGTGATGTTAAAGAGATACACGAATACATAATTACTATGTGAGATAAATGTAATGAAGGCAAAATAAAGAATATAATGAAATGTTATAAGCTGATTCAGATGGGAAGAGAGGAAGAGGGAAGGTGACAAGTTCTCCAGGCAGAAAGTGTTTCCAGTCAGAGGGAACAGCATTTACAGATCCTGTGGAGGAAGTTCAGCAAGATCAACGCACAATATTAGCAGGTTAATAGGGCTTGACTGAACATGTTGAGGAGGGTGGGGTGAGAGTGGCAGGAGATGACCTGCCGCGTCAGCAAGGGCCAAAACATTTGGGCAGGTCACTGAAATGACAAGAATTGTAGATTTTGTTCCAAGTTCTGTGGGAAGCCTTTGGAGGATTTGTAGGAAAGATGGTAAGAAGATAATACTATGTAAATTCCAATTCTAACTACAGTATTTAAGAATTTTTTTTCTAGTTCTTTTTCCTTCAATTTTTTATTTCTTTTCCCAGAAAATATCTTGGAGAAGGGATGCTTGAAGTTTAAGGTCTAGAGTGTTTAGGGTAAAAAAAAATCTTTTGAAAATATATTTGATTCTGCTGATTATAGTCTACTTTTATATTGCAACATAATTCTCCAGTCAGCAGTGGGTTTGTGTAATTTGATAGTTGAAATAAATTTACCTTTATTTGAAAAAAATTGGGATCATTAAACTACTAAACTATATTTTAGCAATGTTTATTAAATGTATTATTTAGAGGAGAAAAAAGAACATAAAATAAAATCTCAAATACCTGGTTTCTTTGAGTTCAATACATAATTTGGATGAATGTAGATCCTTTGAATAGAGCTGAGTATCTTTTGGTAGGCATTAAGGAAATCTAGTTTCTTCCTAGTAAATAAATTTGTTATGTCACTATATAAACCATATAGTGTGTGTGTGTGTGTGTGTGTGTGTGTATAATTCTGAGAATTCCAGCACCTACAATTCCCATAGTATGTCTTAGAAAGTGATTATGTGCCAAAATGACTAAAGTTGCATCAGAATTGGCTACACATATTTTAATAAATTAAATATCATCTATACTCACCAGTAAAGGGAAAAGAATCTGAATGATGAAGAGTGGATTTTAATTATAGGGACAAAATTAAGATACAGAATTTTCTCAAATGAACTACACTTGTAATCCACAGTCACAATAGAAAGTAGACTATTTACAGAAATAGATTCATGGGAAACTTTTTGGAAAAATATATAGATCTGGAGGGAATAATTTGCTTAAAGTTTTTTTTTAATGTCATTTAAAAAATTAAATTGGTGATGATGGTATTTTGTATTTGCCCACATGTCATTTTTTTAAAAAAATTAATTTTTTTATTTGAGAAAGGGGTTGGGGGGAGAGAGAGAGAGATCCATTGGTTTGTTGCTCCACTGATAGATTCATTTGTTGGTTGATTCTTACATGTAACCTGACTGAGGATTAAACCTGGAACCTGGGCATATTGGGATAATGCTCTAACCAACTGAGCTCCCTGGCCAGGGCCCACACACTATTTTTTGATGTCCTTACCCTTGTGTAGATTTGAACTTTCATCTGGTATCATTTTTCTTATGCCTATGGACCTTTTTTAATCATTTTTTTCCTGATTCAGGTCTGCCAACTATGAATTTCTTCTGTACTCCAGGTACGGAATTCTAGGTTGACATTCTGTATTCTTTCTGAATTTCAAAGATGCTTCTTCATTTTCTTTCTTCGGACAATTAGAAGTCTAAAGTGATTCTTACCTTTGCCTTCTGTACACAGTGTGTCTTGTTGCTTCTTTTCTTTATCACCTGTTCTCAAAAATTTAATTATGTTGTTTTCAGTGTAGATTTTTGAAAAATCATGGTTGGGACTTGCTAAGCTTTTTGAGTCTGTGAGCTTACAGTTTTATCAAATTTGGAAAAGTTTCAACCATCATTTCATGTACGTGTATGTATTCTACTCTTTCCTCCCACATTTTCCCCTGCTGCTGAGACTCCAATGACACATAAATTAAGCTGCTTGGTATTGTCCCATAGGACAGTGAGGCTCTGTTAATTTTTTTAAATTTTATTTTCTCCCTGCTTGATTTTGAACAGTTTTTATTTCTATGTCTTTCAGTTCACTTCTCCTCCCCACTTCCTGCCCCTGAAGTGTTTAATTTGCTGGCAACCAGGTACAGTGAAATTTTCATGACAAACAATGTATTTTTCATGTCTGGAAGTCTCATTTTATTATTTTTTATGTCCTTCAGTTATTTCCTCATTATGGTTTTGTTTTTTTCAATTAATTCTAGGGAGAGAGAAAGGAAGCAGAAGAGAGAGAAGCACTGATTTCTTGTTCCACTTACTTATGCATCCATTGGTTAATTCTTGATGTGGACCCCGGCTTGTGGGGTCCGTGTCATTATGGATAAAATGAGACATTCACACGGGCTACCAAATCTGGTGGAGGAAAAGGGACAGGAGGGCTTTTCTCTCAAGGGGAGCAAAAGCCTTGGCCCTTGCTCCAATGAGCTTTTATTGTCTTGCTGAGCACATTATAAGAAGGTTCTCATTAACTGTGCACAGGCTCGCTTTAGGTGGTTACCTTTTACAGAAAACAAAGGAGCCAATGCTGCTAATCACATTACGGAAGAAGGATATTTGCAAATGAAAAGGCAAAAGTAGTTAGACCAGTTACACTCATCTTTGAAAGGTTTAGCATGGATTTTAGGAAGTTACTTTGCAGTAAATGTCCTCAATTCAGGGTGAGGGAGTTTTAGCAAAAAGTAAGACTCATAGCAGCCTTAGGTATATTGAAGGCCTGATTCCCCATGGGAGAACCTATCCATGGGCATGAGTCCTGTGCATCTCCAAGTGGGAGCTGGGCCCATACCACGCAGAATGGTCTACTATAAATTCTTGTATGTGCCCTGACCAAGGATTGAAACTGCAACCTTGGCATATCAGGACAATGCTCTAGCCAATTGAGCTAGATGGCCATGGCTATTTGTTTTTTTTTGTTTTGTTTTTTTTTAATTTGAGCATATTTACAGTATTTCTTATAGCTGTTTAAAAGTCTTTATCCATTAATCCCATTATCTCTGTCATTCCTTGGTCAGTTTATATTGATCGTATTTTTTCCAGGGTAAGGTTTATATTCTTTTTCTTCTTGACATGTTTAGTAATTTTTGATTGGATGCTAGACATTGTAAATTTCTCACTGTTGTATCTAGATTTTGTTGCACTACTTTAATAAATTGTATATTTTGTTCTGACAGGCAGTTGTATTACTTACAAATAAGTATAGTTCATGCAAGACTTGCTTTAAGCCATTTTTGGGTAAGCAAATGTAGACATTGTCTAGGACTAGTTCATTTCCAATATAGAGGGCAGTGTTTTCTGGGTACTCTAAGATTCCTAGTGTATTAATCTGCTTGGGCTACCATAACAGAATACCACATACTGGATGGCTTAAATAATGTTTTTTTTTGTCACAGTTCTAGAGCCTAGAAATCCAAGATTAAGGTGCTGACAGGTTGATTTCTGGTGAGGCTTCTCTTTGTGGATCATACATGGACATGCTCTTGTCTCTGTGCGTGAGCCAATGTCTCTGTATGCTATCTGTTTTTTCCTCTTCTTATACATGAGGACAACAGTCCCATCAGATTACAGTGTGACTCTTATTGACTCATTTAGCCTTTATTATCTCCCAAAAAGCCCTGTCTTCACGCACAGTCACAATGGTGATTAGGGCTTCAACATGTGAATACTGTGGGACACAATTTAGTCCCTAACATTCAGTATATTTAGTGAGGTATCTGTACTCTGGCTCGTGGGCAGTGAATGAATAATACTCAGACTTGTATGAGCTGTCAAAAAAATTTTGTCTAATGGGGTACTCAGTAATTTTTTTTCTTTTAAGTTTGATTTTTCTTTCTTTTTTTTTTTTGCATAGTTCTGTAGAGTTTCACCTTTCACATGTTCATGTTATTCTTTATTGAAAGACTTTAGGAAAACCCTAAGTAGATTTCTGGAGCCCATTCTCTTTCAGCCTCTGTCTCCTGAATTCTAGGTTTCTTGGTATCCTGAACACCAACCTATGTTCTCTCACCTCAGTGAGGCCATCACTCCATCTGTGTTCTCTGCCTGGGCTGCAGTGGGAAACTGCAGACAGAATCTAGTGCAGTTGTAGGACTCATTTTGGTTCCTCTGTTTGGAGTCTGTTGTCTCAAGAGTTGTATCATTTTTTCCAGTTTTCTACTTGTTTTTTTCTCAGTTATTCATTTTTGGGCTGAAGCACAAATCCTTTTAATTTACTTTTGTACAATTAAAAGTTTGTAACTACTTAATTTTTTTAATATGTGGATGATAGTAATATTAAGATTTGCCTTCTGACATATCTATATAGAACACACATTCTAGACATTTAGAAGGCAAGTCTGCATATGTATCTATTGAATACAAGGCAAGATATATTGATTTTGTTAACCTAAATATATTAACTTATACTTGGTTCCAATCACAGCCCCCAAATCTAAACATTATATTCAATTAGAATCTGACATGAAATCCTTATCATGTGACCCAGGATGGCTATGAGTGCATCTCAACACAAAATCATAAATTTACTTAAAACATGAGATTTTTTTTTGCATGTGATTACATGTCATGCTGTATTTAATGTGTGGCCCAAGACAACTCTTCTTCTTCCAGTGTGGTGCAGAGACACCAAAAGGTGGACACACCTCAGACCAACCAAATGTGAAAATGAAACTATTTGCTCAACAATTGAATTTCACTGATTTTGAATGTCTTACTGCAATGTCACTCAACCTTTTTTGAAAATGAGAATTACACAGACACAAGTGTAGGGAGTGTATGGGATTTTAAAAAGTTACACAGGTGACAGTGATGCATATCAAATGTTGAGAATTACTTTTGTAGAGCTCAAACTTGAATATGTATCAGAATCAACTGGAAGCCTTGTTAAAACACAGATTACCAAGGCTGAATCCCTGAAACTTTAATTCATTAGGTTTGACCAGGGCATAAGATTGTACATTTTAACAATTTTCCAGATGGCACAGCTGCTGCTAGTTCTGAAACCATACCTTGAGAATCATTGTTTTGCAGCATATTTACTTGTGCTGTTTAATGCTGTTTAACTCTGGCAAAAGCGGTTTTTCAAACAAAACATTTATTAATAATTTTATAATTTGAGATGATCATGTGGTATAGTCAAAGAAGTACAGAAACTGAAATAAATTAAAATGAAAATAGAACAAAACTCCTTGGTTTAGATCTTACTCAATCCTTTCTAGAAGGTCTTTTTTGTCTCTGAATCTTAGATTCATCATCTGTAGAAAGGGAATTATCATATATGATTAGCTACCTTATAAAGTAACACAAATTAACTAATTAATATTTAATAATAACACTAATTTTAGTTTACTTCTTTCCTCATACAGATTTCACTGAAAAAAATTATACTGACAACAATGTATGGACACCTTTGAACTAAACAGCTCTAAACAATTAAGGCAAAAGTCACTGGAAGACCCTTTATCAGAGGATCTGGAGCATAATAATCATTTTAATCTTCTTGGTCAATTCTGGAATAGTCCCTAAGAAGTACGGTCATTTTTGAGTTCTGGGGAATAGGTCTGGTAGGTCGAAAACCATGTTGAATCTTTTAACCCCTTCTTGGAATATACAAATTCTGGCTTTATGCACTTTAGAATTAACCAGAATTTTGATAATTTAATCACTTGAGACAGAATTATAAATATATCCACCATGGTGATTTCATACTGAACTAAAAACATTTATATCCATGTTTTTGGGCTTTGGTTTACTTTTGGCCATTTATGAGAAATGAACATGACTTCCCATGAGAGTTTGCTTGGATGCTTTTGCCAGTAAGATGCATCAGTCTTTAGAAGGTTGCTTTTCAAGACAGACTTGTTACACAATGTGCTTTAGTTGTGTAATGTATGTTACCACTTCTGTCATTAAGGGTATGGATCATGCTTAGCATGACATTTTGTGGGATCCTAGTTGTGTGGTATATTTAGAGGCATCTAACTGGATAAATAACCTCTGATGAGTTCAGAGCACACACATTAATGGTAGTATGGACATCTTTCTGAATAAACTACAAAAACACATCCAAATTCTGTGGTAATGCTTCCATCTGTCCTATGACATTCATTATTACAGAATATCATACAGTGGTGGTGTCACAAATATTATGTCTCTGGAGCATCATGTAACCTTGGGAGCAGAAATATCTGAAGAACCAAAGGAGAGTAAAGGCTATAATTAAAAATAAGCCCCAAGAAATAGTTTCCATGTGGTTGTGAGAAGCCCTTGAGCACAGCTGGAAAATTTCAGGCTGAAATATGTTGGAACAATAGTTTACAGAGGAAAGTAGCTGGGTTTGTGGTTATACTTGGAAGTAAAATTTCCCTGCTTGGTTATAATAGCAAACTAGCTATAATGTTTGAAAGAATATTCCCTGAAGAAAATTGTTACTCCCTGAATTACAAAGAGAAACATAATAGAAAATAATTTCTTAAATGAGAATATAGGTCTATATGCACATTAAGAATAATTTATTATGTACAAATGAAAATAAGTTTCAAGGTATAAAGACTAATACAGGTTTACCTAATAATAAAGGGTTGGAGAATCCAAAATTCAAGAGAGATTAGGATTTAGTCTAAAATTGTAAAATAAGGTTACATTTTAAATTTTATGGTACAAATCTCTCAGTATTTGAATAAATATGTCAATATATCAAAAATCAATTACATTTCCTCTCAGATTTACTTTTTCTGTATTTCTTTTTTGTTACTGGCTTCATCTTTCTTCAAGTTGTCTACTCTTGCTGTTAGTTTTACTTTCTTTCTCTATTCGTTTTCCATACTAAATCAATTGTTAATTTCTCTCAATCCCTCTGCTAATAGGACATTCACATCCATGTCTGTTTATTAAATTGTTTTAAGATGTTGGGATTATTGAAAATAGTCTTAAAAGAAATGCCAGGCAAGCAGAGAAGTACTGTGAAGTTGAAAAGCCTTCAGGTGTGCATAATCATTTGGAAATGCAAGGAGGGGGTGGCAGGGTGGTTAATTTGTGGTTGATAAAATTTTTAGAAACCAATGCATTGAAAAACTAGAGTGAAATCTAGGAGTAGGGAATAGAAAAGCTAAAAACAGATGTGTGGCAGGCATATGTGGGTAATCATGAATAATATTTTAGATGATAGGAGTGCATTTTAGAACAAGAATGTATACTGTTGCTGACAAGCAGTATTATCAAACTATAAAAAATAATGCCAAATATGGGTCTATATGGGTCTGTCTGGGGTGGAAATGCAATCTCCCTTGTAAGAAAGTACCTTCAATCAGTGTTTCCTCAACCTTCAAATATATTATTTGTAGATTGTTTTGTTAGAATATAGTGACAAAAATTTTGTTCAAAGTTTTTTTTTTAAATGATGGTAACATTTTTGTTTTGAAAAGGAACTTAAAAGACCAGTGTAATTTACAATTGTGTTAATGTGCATGTTGGCTTAGTGGCTTGGGTATCAACATAAGACAAATCTAAGAACTTTGCTTGAGATTTAAATCATAATGTAGGTTCAGTGGTTTATTCAATGGATGCTAGGATTGTTTCCTGCTATATTAGTTTTCTATTGCTATATAACAAATTACCCTAACTTGGCAATTTAAAACAAAACCCATTTTTTACTCACATTTCTGTGAATTGGAAGTCCAAGATGGTGTAGCTGGGTTTCTGCTCAGTGTCTCACAAGGCTGACTGGAGGGTATCGCCTACTTTTATTCTCATCTGAAGCTCAGTGTCTCCCCATGACTCCTGCTGTTGGCAGAAGTCAGTTGCTTGTAGTTGTAACAGCCGTGTCCCCATTTCCTTGTTGTTCAGCAGTGGGTGGCTACTCTTATTGCCCAAAGGCCATCTTCATTCTTTCTTAAGTGGCTCCTTCCATCCTCACAAGCAGCAAATCTTCCTCACATTTCAGATCTCTCTGACACCCTCTTCTGCCATTATCTGGGGAAAGCTCTCTGCTTTCGTGAGCTCAGTGATAGGATCACACCCACCTGGGTAATCTCCCCATTTTACAACTGTGTCACGGCATAACATAATCACAGAAGTGATATCCCATCATATCACAGCCTTTGGGGGTTAGGTGGAGGAACCCTAGTGGGGGTGGCATCTTAGTGATCTTTCCTGCCATGTGTGTGTAATGTCAGCAATGGGACAGTGACTCTGTGGGTTGCAGTGCAGTCCTGTATACAAGACAGACCGAATGGAATTGTTCTTCCTGTTGGGTGTGTAGGTACCTTCCTGTCTCATTTTAAGTTGATTTAAATTAAAAAAAAATTGTAGCAGAAAAGCAAAATGAACTCTATTTCCAAGTCCAGAATAGCTCATTAAATGATAGTTAATAATTCAAAAATTAATAATTTTTGAAGAATCACAGTAAAATTAACTTAAGATGATATTTAAAAAAATGGATGCAGAAACATTTTTGGTAAATTTTGAGTCAGAGAATCACCAATATTTTTATGCAAGTACTTTTATAATGCCATTACATTGCATACATGTTGGCCAAGGGATTTTAATGAGATAAAAATGTTTACCATTCTTAGATATTTTCTAGGAGAAACATGAGGATGAAACCGTGGATTGTCATGATTTTGTGTGGTTTAAGAGAAAAACAACAACAACAGTGAATTAGAAACTATTGCTTTCTTAAGAAAACTTTTCCTAAAAAATTAGTGGGTCTTCTTTAAGATTTCCTTACTAACAATGCTCCAACCCCAGATACACATTGTGTTCTTATGACTGTTATTAAAAAACTCTCATAGCAAGAACTTTTGCAAAAATATTGGGCAGATTATAGTTGATTATACAAATTAAACTATTATAATTTAACAAAGCTCCACATAAGACACATTGAAATGCACACACATGACTCAATCCCATGAATATATCCTTTGGGAATGTTAATGAAAGTTTCATTCTGAAAGAAATTATGAAATTGAATTACTAAAATGAGAAAATCAGTTTCTGAATTTAACTGTAAATAGAAATCTAATCTTTTTCTGCTTAGCAGTGAATGAATAATTAATTTGAAAATATTTAAATTATTGAGCTAAAATTGAGTGAATTTCCATTTCTATTTTCTCATAGGAAACATGATGTTAAGTGAAAAGGACAAAAGTTATTATTAAAAAACTTGAGAGTTGGAAAATTAAGGATTACTGGAACCTGTTTATTATAATGGGTGTTACACATGATTATAATATAAAACAAACTAATTTTAATGAGATTCAATTTGTTATTTTTAAGGAATATTATATGAGTATCAGCAGTTTTTATTGTCTTTTTTTAAATGGAGTATTGTTATATTTGTCCCTATGAATCTTGCCGATTATTATCTATAATTTTTTAAAAATATTAAAGCCAAAAGCAAATTATATTTTAAATTGATAACATTAATTATGCCATGAAGGAGCAGAACTCTTATTCTTCCTTCTCCTTTTCATTCTTAAAGAGGTTACTTTTTGTTTTAATTTCAAAGGTCAATTTTTTTCTTATAAACTATTTCTTATAGTATATAGTACTATGAACATATTCTTATTCATGAGAAATTTTATTCAGTGATCTCATTTTAAAAATGCTTATGTGAAAGACATTTAATGATTTATCAGCAAGTATAATTTACTTGTAGTTTAGAATAATCCATAAGTACAGAAAAAACTCATTAATCAGAATGTCATTAATTCAAAATGTATAAACATTCAGCTTGAGCTAATTGGAATTAACTTTTGTATGATCTATTAAGATATTTTATTATTATATGAAGCTGGCATTAAGGCAAGAGAAATATTTAGCCTTATATGAAGATAATAATTTATTTTATTTCACATACTACTTTATCCTTCAAAATATATCTTTTAAAATATATAAAATGTATCTAAAATACAGAACATCTCATAGAAATATACTTCCTTTCTCTAAAGCAGTTCTTGACTTTTGCTATTCATTCATTCAATCATTGAAAACTTACTGAGTACCAACTATGTCCCTGGCACCGTGCAGGAGACAATAATGGAAATACCAATGGGAAGTATACATTGAGCAGCTGCTACATGCCAGACCATTTGCTAAGCTCTTAACACGCATTATTTCATTCATTAAGTCTTTACCACAGCTCTATTAGATAGTTACTATTTTTGTCCACATTTTTGTGATGAGGGGACTGAAGCTTAAGACATTAAATAACTTGCCCAAAGTCACAGCTATTTCTCAATACAGAATTACATCAGATAGTCTGAATCCAGAGGAAAAATCTATCACCATTATATTAAAAATAGTGAAAGAAAAAAATATTACTCCTGCCTTCATTATACTTATGTCCTGCCTACTAGAGACAACATAAAAAACATAAATAAGTAATTATAAGTAATTATAATTAGTAATATATTATGAAGAAAAATGATAATTTTCTGGCAGAAGGAATTTAGGGAAAACCTAGTTTAGGTATATGGGTGAGTGGAGTTGTCTCTGAGGCCATAATTTTGAAGTTGAGACTTTAGGTACATTAAGTGTGAGGGAGGAAGAGAAGAATCGAGTTTTCTATCTGGAGAAATGAGTACTGAGACATATTTTTTTATTATTATTATTTTTTCTTTTTTTAAATTGTTGTTCAATTACAGTTGTTGCCATTACTCTTCCCTGCCCTACCCACTACCCATCTCCCACATTCAATCCTGTCCCACACCATTGTCTTTGTCCATGGGTCCTTTATACATGTTCCTTGACTTGACCCTTCCTCTTTTTTCCACCATTATCCCCTCCTCACTCCCCTCGGGTCATTGTCAGTTTGTTCTTTATTTCCATGTCTCTGATTCTATTTTGCTCATTTGTTTGTTTTTTGATTAGGTTCCACTTATAGGTGAGATCATATGGTATTTGTCTTTCACACTCTGGCTTATTTGATTTAGCATAATGCTTTCCAGTTCCATCTGTGCTGTCATAAAAGGTAGGAGTTCCTTCTTTCTTTCTTCTGTGTACTATTCCATTGTGTAAATGTACCACAGTTTTTTGATCCATTCATTTACTGATGGGCTCTTAGGCTGTTTCCAGCACTTGGCTATTGTAAATTGTGCTTCTATGAACATCCAAGGGCATAGGTCATTTTGAATTGGTGTTTCAGGGTTCTGAGTGTATAACCCCAGCAGTGAAATTGCTGGGTCAAAAGGCAGTTCCACTTTTAGTTTTTTGGGGACATTCCATACTGTTTTGCACAGTGGCTGCACCAGTCTGCATTCCCACCACCAGTGTACTAGGGTTCCCTTTTCTCCACAACCTCGCCAGCACTTGTTTGTTGATTTGGTTATGATGGCCATTCTGACTGGTGTGAAGTGGTATCTCATTGTGGTTTTAATTTGCATCTCTGATGGCTAGTGATGCTGAGCATCCTTTCTTATGTTGCTGGGTCCTCAGTGTGTCCTCCTTGGAGAAGCATCTATTCAGGCCCTTTTCCCATTTTTTCATTGGATTGTCTATCTTCCTAGTGTGGAGTTGTGTGAGTTCTTTATATATTTTGGAGATCAAACCCTTGTCCATGGTGTCATTGGCAAATATATTTTCCCATACGGTTGGTTAGCTTTTCAATTTGCTGATGTTTTCTTCAGCCATGCAGAAGCTTTTTATTTTGAAGAAGTCCTATTTGTTTATTCTTTCCTTTATGTCTCTTGCTCTAGGGGACATATCAGTGAAAATACTGCTGCATGGA